GACTGTCACGTGGCTTCCTGCCGCCCACCGTGCTTGCACTACTCTGGAGGCTCCAAGGCAATCTTCAGGAAGTCTACTTGCTGTCTTCCTCCCACGAGCTCTGGCCTTCTGCTGCAGACATGCACCAACGCTGCCGACGTGTCTCCCGTATCCCCCGCCCCTCAGCAGCCGAGGCGGGCGGCGTAGCGTTAAAATTAGAGCTCCTCAGGGGTGCGCACCCTGAGGCAACTTCTTTTCGCAAAGTTCCACCTGAGAGCAACAATTTTCAGAAAGACAGGACCGATCTAGCCCGAGCCCCGTGCATTGAAGGAGTGAAGTGGCACATAGTTGTGGAATTCCGACCGACGTTGCCACGACACGTGCCTAGACGCGCTCGTGTGGAATCCCCCCACAGCTTGCCGCACACCTGCACACGCCTCGTCTAGATTGTTTTGGTGTGAAAGTGCACATCACCCGCCGCGTGGACACTGATTCAGCGAATCACTATCTACTACACATCAACAAGATTCGAATCATGAGCGGGGACACTGCCCGATGCTGTGATTTGCTTTGTTGTTGCTTTGCTGTAACCTCTTGCGACTTGACGAACGACTTCGTCGAACCTCTTAGCTACAGTCAACAAAGGATCCGACCAGAATATCTTCACTCGTCGGCTTGCCAGCGCTAGACGACATGATTGCTAGCAAGACTCACAAAGACGTAGTCATGAGCAAACAGAAGCAGCAAAATCACCCTAGCAAACTTTGAATTCAAACACATACCACTTAAAATCTCTGGTTCTAAGCGAATGGTGCCCTGAAGGCCCCACAGCCCAACTCGAAACCCTGATTAAACACCGAAATACACTGGGCTTCGTTATGTTCGTTCGGAGCAGGGCAGTGTGCAAAGAACCACAATTGCAACATCCCTCATCCAGCTCTCGATCCATGCAAGAAATCAACTTGAAAATGAAGCCAGCACTTGATAGATCGACAGATGAAGTCCGTCCTTGCCCATGCTGCACAGCGTTGACCAGAAAGCTTCTTCAAACGAGGCAAAGTGTCTGCACGGGTGTAGGCTTGTTCATGCTGAGGCTAAGGAGAGAGCACTGATTATATAGATTCTTGGTCAGCGAGCATCGTCCTGAAAGTGATTCTGAAACTGAAATGACGTTGACAGTCTGGCGGGCTTGAACCAAAATTCTCTTCAATCAGATGCTGGACGCCTTCGAACAGCGCTTTGACAGCGCTCTGGAGGTGCCTGGGCCTACGCTTTTTCACCGCGAGCTTCTGCCGTTTGCCGGATGTCGCTGCTGCAACGGTGCCGAACTCGGGCGTTGAGAATTGTCTGTGCACTGGAACTTTAACTTTAGCTGCCCAAGTTCGTTCCAGCGTTCTGTACACAGGCGACGGCTTTCAGGCGCGGCGGCAGGTCGGGCATGAACGCACACCTCTCTACGTCCCGCAGTCCCCTCAAAAGCGATCCACGTCTGTAAACACTGCAGACATGGCAGAACCTAGCAATCAGCAAATGGAGACTCAAACTGTCCGAGCCTAGTGTCTGGCCTTCAGAATCAGCAAAATAATCAAGACCTTTTTCGAAATGACATCGACGCTCACTACAATTACGCTGACATTGTGCTTGGCATGATAAGCTGCTGGTCTTCCCAAGGCCAGGACAAGATTGACAATGACCAGGAAGTAGATGCAGTTCATGGCCTGAACAAAGGTGGGTATCTTAGCAAGCATTCTGAGCTGAGCTGGAGGCTTCTCTTTTGTCTCAAGCAAACATGACAGTGTGCCCGATTGCTTTTTTGGCTTTCTTCTGCCTTCCCAGGAGACAAACGAGGCAAGGTCTCCCCGTGCAAATCTCGGGGCTACCTTTCGAAGCTGCTTGTTTGCTTCTGCGCTCTGGTGGACAACCTGGCAGGCGGCCCTCCGCGTAGCATCAGCATCAAGATGCAACCACCGCTGGATCCCCGTGCAAAGCCTGCTCAATGTTGTAGTCAATGCGGTCAAGGATGGATCCCTGGTCGATGACCAGCACCGCAAGCTCCTGGCAGGAGAACGAGGCCCAGACCGTGCAATCGCCTCCGAAAACTGCTCCTTGAAAATTGTATGTAGATCCGTGATGGAGGCCGCGATTTTGTTGATTTCTTCATTCCTCACGGTCGCACCTGCAAGCTCTTGTGAGCGAGGAGAAAGTCTGACTGGTCATCTCGGGACCATGCTTTGCTCCATCTCTTGCAAGTCCTAGCATGACACAAGGGGATAAAGATCTTAAACCCTAAAGGCCCTAAAATCTTGGAGGTGAATGGATTTCCTGGAGCTGGCCATCGGTGAAACCTATGTCGGCGTCGGGCCTAGGAAACACTTGCACAAAACAGACGCAGTCAGGCTGCTGATCAGAAGATCTCAGAAGACACTAAGTCACTAAGCCCAGCGCATGCTTCCTTTCGCAACATCGTCTATCAGGCCTCCCTTCTGGCGATTTCTGATGTCATTCAGGTAATCCTGCAGTGAACGTCCAGAGGGTTGCTCCGGAGTCTGACCATGATTCACGTGGACTTCCTTCTGGGACTGCCGAAAGTGCTGCGAGAGCTGTTGAAGCCTTGGATGCAAATGACACGCTTTTGAAACTCTGCGATTTCCTGCCCCACGGGTGTCATGAATCAGCAAGGCAAGCACTGAGTAGCGAGATTCCGCTGCATGTTCTGCCTCAACCTCGGATGAATCTGGGCATACGAGGCGCATGTCTAAACGGACTTCCACCAACCATGTTGGAGCAGCAGGCTCTCTATCCTTCTCGGAGGCAAGAGCAGTTCCACGGGTCTTGACCTGTCGACAGGTCGACTTCGACGTCTCCCCTAATGACAAAGACCCTACCAGAGCCTGGTGGATTGAATTCTCGCATCTCTTCACCTCAGAACATGAGTGCCCAGGCCGTGCCAACTCGTGCTGTGCACACACATACACACACAGCCGCATAGATGTGCCAGAATTAATCTCTGACCGCGGCAAGATTTGACACTTCGTTGGATATTCGTTCGACCTCGTGAGACAAGCAATGAACTCTTCATCAAATGTAGATGCAACTCCGCCTCTCTGTCGGGAGTTTTGTCGTCTGAGAATACTCGAATGAGGCGCCTCAGTCAACATGCGTACACAGAAATTCCGCCAGGCTGAGCCGGCCGAGCCGTGTGGCTTTGACTGCGCTTTCTCAAGCTGCACCATCTTGTCTTTAATTGTCTTGATGTCCTCTCTCGCCTCCCAGGGGTTTTTTGCCGAAGCTCAAACGGAGAAGGAGATGGTGCTCGGGCGTTCGCCTGTTCGGCTGCCTCGACCCATTGGGGCGGCAGAGGGGCCATCTCCAGCGAGACCTCAGACTCGAGCATTTGTGATCGTCTCGAGCCAGGCCTTCCAAGCCTCTTTTCGACCCCCCTCCACGTCGAGCAGACGATCCACCTGGCCAAGGCCGTCGACACGCGGCAGCAACCCTTGAGGACTAACTAGCCGTCGGGACGTCGCCATGCAGCCCGCCACCCTTGGCTGAAAGACTCTTTCGATTGCAGACAAGCGCGTGCGACTGACCAGTCTTGCAAAACACCTCTGGGCTCAGAACAAGCTTCCTTGCAGCCCGTCGATCCCGATGCCGGGTGAACACGGGCCTCACAAATCTTGAGGTCAATCAAGTCGCCGTTCACAATGGAAACAAAAATCAATGAGGTGAACCGGTCCATGGCTGTACAGTATGAGCATCGCATTCATACTCACAAGCAGCTTTCCTAGCCAATCAAACCTACAATGCGTCATCGCACACTTGTCACACCAATGTCGTGAACCGGGGGTCAGGCGTCAAGTTGCGAGTGATGGGCGATTTGCCATTTATGGCTTTCATTTGTCAAACTTCAAGGCTGAGCAACTGCACCGTTATCAACAGAATCAACCAGGCTGGCCGTAGCTTGGCATGTGCACACCGCAGTTGTCAATGCATGGAGTGCACATGGCCGACGGAGCCAAAGCTGCATGTCCTCACCCATTCGTTATACGTCTTGTGAATCTGTTGTCTTCGCCAGCTCTAGCTTCATGACGTTCTCGGCACATACGGTTCAATTCGAACACCCATGATTGGAAGTGCAAGGATTCAGCTGCAACATGCACTGACTGACCAGCAACAGAAGGAGCGGATTAAAGCCTGAATCAACGAATTTGGCATGCAGCGACAAGGCATCCTCATTGAATCTGACATTTATTAAATTTATGTTGAAAGCCATTGGGTTCAAGCGAAGTGGTCAAGCTTACGAACAGATACCGTGAAGTAACAAGACGGGCAGCGTGCAAGGCTTACTTGCAAGTGGCGTGGGCTGTGTCGGTATGCGTCATACTTGAGCTTTGCCACTGTTCTTCACTTAACCGCAGAGCACGCTGCTCCCGAAGCCTTTGCCTGTCTCTTGCAATGAGGCAAGAGCGACGTCATTTTGTGGCCTTAGGTTCATAAGACAACCTAGCAACTGTATCCTTACGGTGCCGAAACGAATGCCCTCGCATCCTCGCATCCTGCCCAAGCGCTCACGACTAAAGCCTCTTGATCCTTGTGACACTAGCTGTCCCGCTGCATAGGCTTCGCAGACCCTTTTAAGCAATCCTCTGGATCAAGTGAACGCCCCGAGACGTCGTCACCACCTGGGCAGACATGGAGAAATCGAACGCAACATGAAAGCGGGTGCATCCAACAGGATAGCAGCAAAGCGAAACGTCCGAGCACGACGACGTCGCTGAACTCGGCCTTGCGAAGAGTAAACCTGGCACGCGAACCGGCCAACCGGCCAAAAAATGGATTTTTGATGGTGACCTCATCTCGTGGGGCACAGACGCTCCAAACGCGTCAGCTGCACGCTGCCTGCTCAAACGCAGGCTCACACTGGCCCCTTGATACCTTGGTCTGCAGGCAATATGGAAGTATGCTTGCCAAACTCAACGCACCACGCCATTTTGAGTCTCATGCCCAGCCCAAATCACCACACAGCTGCCCGGCATTGTCTGCTGAAGAGCACTCTGACCGCTGTTGACAAAGTTTCCGGAAAGCAGAACTCCTGCAAGCAACGAGATGCCAGAGAGCATGCCCCAGCGAGGCGAACAGCAGATTCTGGAAGAGGACACAGCGACAGAGGCGTGCAGTCACGCTGGCTCTGATAGTGGAGGTTGGGTTGTTGCAAATCTGAGTGCTGCATGCTTGCCCTCTAGAGACTGTACAGCTGACCAGAAGGCTGTTGGAGCAGCATGACAGGAAAACATGCGCCGGAGGCGAAAGTAATCTGTCGAAAATGAAGCTGTTGCGTTGATTGGTGCCAGACAGGTGACACTGGGTTGGGTCCAGCATCGAAGAATATGTTTGAGACCCCAAGACTTCCAAGGGATCAGAACCTGGCTGCAGAAAACTTGGGGATCTTGAGAACTTCCGGCAAAGATAACGACTGATGTACTTTGAGACATTCATAGTGACATAGTGCAAACACCGGAGCGAACCTCTGTGCATCCGGGTCAGCTCCATTCACATCCGTGTCCATAGCCAGAAGGCTGCGAAGAACGGCCTCGGTGTAGCAGGGCAAGGTGCGAGCTGCCGTCAGGTGCACAGCAGCAGCTCAATTTTCGTCCGCAGACCGAAACATCCGTTCTGTGAAATTCAGGCGAATATGGTATCGGTCAGGTCAGCCGTGGTTCTCCTCATCCAGGTCGACGAAGCCCACAATAATATATCCTCGAGCTGCACTTTACCCTTTGACATTACAACACTCACAGTGCGGCACGGGTGGAGTGAAAGAGCTCACTGACATACATATATATATATGTGATATTTATATTTATATATATATAGATAGATAGTATATTATATATATATATATATTATGTTGCAGTCCCATGCTACTAGTACAGCTGCAGATAAAGGTTTGCCCAGATGACGCTTCATATTCTGTAGTTGCTCATCGGGACAGGTCTAGAAATGACATCTTTTGTCGATACCCATACGGGGAAGCAGTGCCGCTTCGAACATGACTCCATGACATGTAAACGGAGTTAAAGTGTGGTTGCTGACAGCTTCATTTCGCCAAGGTTCGCTCGCCTCTGGTGACAGGCTGGCCTGCCCCAAGATAAAACATGCCCTGAGTTGACAAACCTAGTCGAGTCCTGCAGCTCCCTGCATACATATCAGCACCTCTGTGCTACCTAGCAGTAGCATGCTTCCTTCAGCATCAGCCACTGGTGAGTCTAGGGCTACACTTCACCAGGCCCAGTACGAGAAACTCGCTGAACTCGCTAACAAACTCTAAGGCAGGGGAAGATTGGTGCGAGAGATGCCTCCGTGACGAAGCTTTCCACTGTGTACAAAACAATCTCCCTGCATGATTTGGTAGGCACATTCATCCGCTTCCACGTAGGTGCCACCACCTTCAAAATCTTGCGCGCTGTTCAGCAATATGTTGAAGGAGATAATCGAACCATCACGATGCAAAGCCAAGCCCGCTTGACCTTGCACAGAGTACTGAACGAAGAAGAGATCTCTGAAGTAGAGACATGATCCGGACCCATCACCCCAGCCATGGCGCTTGGCAAGCTCCGGCAGCACCGTTTCTGCTAAAGACCCTCTGACCCAGGCGTCGATCTCAGGGATGAGACTGCAAGGCATGTCCGTGGTAGCGTAGGCTGCATGCCTTTCGGTTGTCCAGCCGGACGATGTCTTCACAGCAGCTTTAACAGCATCTAGAACGTAGTCACACTCCAGCGGTGACCAAACTGCTTTGAGCGTGTAAACCTCTCGCAAATTGGCAGGAACTTCCAAGTGCTGGGCAGCCCGAATTTTTCCAGCTTCTACAGCCTTTGCAGCCCGATTACCAAGATCCTCCTTGTCTAACAAACAAGGGCTCACGCCCAAGATCTCACAAATGCTGTTGCGATTATGTAGCCTCGCGATCTCCACGGCTGCAAAACCATCTACGTCTGTTGCAGAAACATCTGCTCTCCTTGACACGAGAAGTTTCACCACCTCCTCCTCTCCAAAACGAGCCGCCAGATGCAAGGGTGTCTGACCACCAGCTTGAACGACGACATTTTGTAAAAAAAGATCCTTCGTTTGACTGTTCATTGGCGCCCCGGTGTCGAGAAGAGCGGCTGCCAAGCGGAGCATACCGTACTGCGCGGCGTAGTGCAGCGCAGTGTATCCACTCTCTCGTTCCCGCTCGGGCTCGGATCCGGGTCTGCATCCACTTCCGCTCTCTGCGACAATTTCGCTCAAGGCATCCAAGGCCTGGTCCTCATCACAACAGGCGGCACATCGCGTCACAGACCGCATCCCAGTCACAGCCCAGCCTACAGCCCTGCACCAAAACCTCGCGGTCTATCATAATATCTACGAGTCTGGGAGTCATTGCGAGTCTACGAGGTGATATTTGGCCTCCTGAGAACAGAAGCTGTAGGCATGATAAATGCTGGGACTTCCTTGCATCAACTATCGTCACACCTGGTACGTCCACATCTTCGCTTTCTGCGGCATGCGCAACACAAGAGCGGCTTTTGCAGGGGCTTCGGCCACAAGTTCTGCCTCTGCTTCAGCGGGGGTCCGATTCTGCTGCGTCTTTGCCCGGGCACGCCGGGCCTGCACGATCGAATAATTTTGAATGGGCTAGACTGCTCCAATTTCTCTGAACTAGGTTCCAAGCCATTGGGTCTTCTGGAAGCATCTTTCCAGGCTCTGCACATCGCAGCAGGAGGTGCCGCAGGCGAACTGAACGTGGACCTGAGCACTATGGTGATCGGCTGTTTGGGTTGTCGCAGCTCAGCTCGCTGAGAGCTGCTCCGACAGCGCCCTTATGCCTCGAGTCTTCCAAACTGTAGACTCAGGCGCAATACCATCAGCGATAGTCGTTGCTTTTACATACTTTTTGTTTCACGTTCAAGCCGTGTAACTAATTACTACAACTGTGCAAGCTGCTTCCAACACACCGATAGCAAAGCTGCAAATCAGCCTCTTGGCAGGACGTGCAGAGGGATCCTCCGCAACCTGATGCTTGCAGAAAGGGCGAAGTCTTCTAACCTGTGGCTCCTGCCGAGCCTCATCCTCGTCCTCCCGCTCACGTATGCAGATGCAGATGCTGCAAGCCTGACAACAACAGTTATTTCTGGGATTTCCTGATGTTCCGAAGTGCATGGACCACACCCTTTCGTGAAGGCATGTCTGCACAGGCATCAACATTTAAAGTCCGGCGCAATGCCAGTAGGTCCTCTTCCTCCTGCTCATCATCAGCATCGTCGTCCTATACTCGTTGCAGTCCTCACACTTCTCGTCTTCTTCCTCCTCCTCCTCCTCTTCTATTGGTGGCTCCTCCTGCCTGCCCACAGCTGCAGCTGGCAGCAGCAGCAGCAGCAGCAGCAGCCGCAGTATCAATAAGAAAAGCAGCCTGTGACCCCAGGGCGCTCAGGCAAACCGTCGGTTGAGAAGCATGCTCATTCGGAGTAAAGGTCTAAACGCATGTCGCTGTCCACTCCACGGGAATCGAAGTCGCATTCAGCCCACCCGGCCAGTTACTTCCATCCTAATACGGAATCCTTTCAAGAAGGCAGCTATGTCGGCCATTTATTCTTTACAGGGTGACCGAAACAATGGACAAGCCTGCTTCAACAATAGCACTTGCATCTCAGACCACACTATGTCACACTGATGCACTTGATGCTACTTGCTTTATGCGGTCTGGGACTGTGACTGACGACTCCGATCGAGGCAGCGACATGGCCTGCAAGAACAGCTGAAAGCTGCGCTCCCTTCGCCAGAATCAAGACGCTTAAGATGTCCTTCGTAGCCCATTGGAGAGCAACCGCTTTGGGCTGCCAACGGCATAGGGCTGCTGGCTCCTGAGTCGTTTGAGAGCCACCCTAAGCGGCACGCTCTCAGTTTATTGCAGCAGCCCGTCAACCCAAGTGGATGCTTGGGGCCTCCTGTGCCCCAATTGAAAATCTTGAAAGGTGGCAGCTCTAATCCTTACGCAGGTGAGGCTTTAATTGCCACTGAATCCCTCGAAGGTCCTCCAAGTCCTTGAGGGTAAGCTGAGCAGTTGCGCCACAACACAGTGCCACACGGACATCCTGACAGCACTTGAAAGACCGAAGTGCGAATCCGGTGGTGGAGTGCGAGCGTTCCTTCGACTTCGAGTTCGCCCCTGTCCGATCTGCTGCCTAAGCCTCTTGGCGTCCAAATAGAGTACATTCACATGACGTCTCTTCATGTTGGGACAACGTTCTGAGAACTCGTGAGTATGCAACGGAACTGGCCTTCACATGCGGTGCTTGTGTGTTCCGTCTTGCTATCTTATCTAACTTTGCAGCAGTGATGATATTCAAGCGTGGGTACTAGCCGAATGCCTCGTCATCTAATCAGAAACACGCATGGGTTTAGGGTTTAGGGATGCATTAACGAGATTCCACTGTCCTTACCTGCTATCTATGGTGAAACCACACAAAGAAGCTTGCAATTCAAAACTGGCAGATTTGGGCACCCCTTTCACGTCTAGGCTTCGCTTTCGTTCTGGGACTGTTCATCAAGGTCGATGGCCAATTGCTGTCTCCACAATCTGCAGATACAAGCTGGCTGGCGGCCTGCCTCTTATCTGGCTGCTTTTGCAGTTCTCATTAAGTTGTTCATGACCTCCTTTCTTGCTCATTCTAGTTTCGTAAACACAGCAACAGGCTCCGTGATGCATGCTGTGCAAAACCCTGCAGCAGTGAAACCAAAATGTGAGACAACCGCGACCAACACAAACGCTTCGCACAAGCGCAAAAGAATGTCACATTATCATGCTTATCGCCCCCAACCAAAACAGGAGATTGGCAAACCATGCTACGTGTGCCTCGCCGGCCCTGTATGATGCAGTCCGCACCTGACTGGCAATTCTTACTCCTCATCATGAGCCCGACATCTCGATTCAATACGATTGATGAAACGCAACTTTAGGCTCTTCCCTCTCTGCCTGCAGATTTCCACCAATGTCACGAAGGTCACGAAGTCCAATGGCTGTCAAACTTCCCAATGGTACTCCTCGTGCACACCGCGATTGCGGCGACACTTCAAGTGTGCGGTCTTGTCAAGTCAGCATCGAACAAGCGGGCCTTCTAGGACCAGTCGTTCGCTTGAAGAGGGGCCAACCTTGAGCGAACGCAACTACGAGATGTGCTGAAAATACGCAACTGTGTCGGACCTTCGTTTGACGACGGCGCTCTGCTGCTACTACCGGACAAGAGACCAGGAAACATCTGCACCCATTGCAAGTTCCATGTTCGCTCTCAGAATGGCACTTGCCGAGCAATGCGAAGAGTTTGGGCCGCTGTAGCACAGGCATCAAGGCCCTTCTGAACCTCGGAATGGAGGTAGAGCAACAAAGCATTCAGTACTTTGCAAGTGTTGGAGCGATGGCCTGACATTATGTCAGCGAATTGAGAGTTTGCTGTACCGTACCTTGAGAAAGACTCTTCGTGGAAGATGTTTCCCACGTTCATCGAGTGTTTCGCTTGTTCACATGGCTGCAAATTGGGGACAGCTTCAGTGGACACAGCTGATCTCAGACATCTCGGAGTTAAGAACACACTGCCGCTCCTGACCGTCTTGACTCAAACTGTCGTGCATCATATGACGACCACTAAGTGACTGGCTTCAGAAAGTGCTTCAGGAAGCTGCGCTTTGGCAAGCTTGTGTTTCAAGGTATCTTTGGCCTCACATTCTTGTTAGCAGCATACCTTCCACGATCCGAAGCCATCCAGGCCTTGTTCACTTGAGCCTCATCCGACTCGAGCTCCACCTGCCATAGGGAGTTCCGATGAAGGTACTACAGCACAAGGCTTTCACGGTTCTGTCGAAACATGCCTGAAGAAGCTGGCAGGCCCCCTTAACAGTCAGCGGATCCCATCCTGTGATTGGAATGCCAGACACGCAAACCGCTGTGCAGTTCTGCCATGCCGATGAGGCGCGCAAGACTCGGCGAAGCTCGCGGCAGGCATCTATGTGGTGCTCAGACAAGGCCTTGGATTCGAGCAAAACGAACAGGCCACGTTCCCAGCCGTAGTGATCGGATTGGCAATGCCTCCACGATCTTGGCAGCGGCATCAAGCCGAGAAAAAGCTGCCTTTGCGTCACTTGCACTGCCGTTCCTGACCTGCAGCCATGCTCGACAAAGGCTCGACCAGCTTTGACTGAGAAGGCTTACAACTGCCTTGTCCGGATGCACCCGCAGAGCCAGCCGCTTGTACCTAACCGAGGTTCCATCAGTTCCATCATCCGTTAGTCAGAAAGCCGTGTTGCGTCTCATGCGCACGTGGCTTTTGCTTCTGCCGGATCTGGACCGTTCTCACCAATGCCCAACCTGAAGCTGAAGCAAGGCCCGACACCCGGCTGTGTGTTCCGCGATGTGAACACTTCAAGCTCCAAGCACCGCAAAGGCATCAGGAGCTCGAAGAATCCGGCAAACGGGATCTTCATCAACCTCTTCTGCCTCGCATGGAGAAAGCATCACATCACCCGCCCCCGATCTCTTCCAAAAGGCGCGTGCAATTCACACCTGCGCGTCCCAGACACATTTTGCCCGCTGCAACCCATTGCTCCCAATCAACGCTCCTGATGCTTCCGGCATACTTACAAACTCATCGGAAGCAGCTTTGTCCCAGATTTGCAGAGATGCCGTCCTTGTTCGGATGCGTGGCCGCTTGGCAGCTGCAACAGCTTGCTAACCTCGACAGGCAGCATTCTATCTTGATTCAAGCTGCTGTGCGAATGTGTGTGTTCGTGACAGTGAAGATATGTGTGCGTGTGTCTGTCCCTCTTAGATTTGTATAGATGACACTGAGCCTATCATTGCACAGATATGTCACTCATGACTGTACTTTGGATTAAGACCTAGATTGTGTCCATCGCGCAATGCACCAAAAAGTGACGGAGTGAACGGTGGGGAAAACCTGCTGAATCCGGAGTCCATTCCTGCAAAAAATCGATTGGTGGTGAAATCAAGTTATTTTGGAGTACATTTGCCCGCTGGAAAGATTGGAGCTAGCAGCTCAAGAGATTACGGTCGGATTGCGCGAGCCGATTGCAGAAGCATCAGAAATTTGATGGACGAGGCGGAAGGTAGCTCCGCTGGCCTGGTACCAATGACGATCTGCATCCGCAGCATGAACCCGAAGACCGATGTACTGATCGATCGCAATGTTTGCTAGGCAGCTGGCTGATATGTTGGCCAAGATCACTGACGGCAGTGCTAGAACTGTAGTGAGAAGTGAGGAACTCGAGATTCGGAAGAAATTGTGTGCGCCTTTGTTTGCATCATCCGCAGGAAGGAGATCAACGAGTCTCATTACCGCCGCCGCCCAGCGCGAGATCCTGGAAAGCCCCTTCGGAGGCAAGGACTTTGTTGAGGAAATGGGCACAAGTGCCAGAGGCGTGAGGTGTTGTGGCAACGGGAAACCGGCCGCTCAGCCGATTGCTCCGGTGACACCAGGATTTGCGTGAGGGCCAACCGTGGCAGAAGGGTATGGGCGGTTACGAGGTCGTCCAAGAAGGCGCCGGCATCAAGAGAAGAGATGATGATGATGATCGTGACGATCGTGATGTTGATGCTGATGATGAGTGAGGATGATGATGATGATGATGACGAGGAGGAGGAGGATGGTTGACTATGAAGATGGTGTTGACAATGGCGATGACAATGACGATGAGGATGAAAATTTTGATGATGATGATGATGATGATTGGCGAAGATGATGAATGATGACGATGATGATGATGACGACGAGGATAATCATGATGATGGTAACGTAGATGATGATGATGATGATGGTGATGGTGATGATGATGACGTTCAAACGCTTGGATGATGATGATGATGATGACGAACATGATGATGATGACAATGGTCATGATGATGATGATGATGATGCTGAACATCATGATGCTGGTGAACAAGATGATAATAATGATGAACATGATGATGAGCTCGATGATGATGATGACGATGATGAAGAAAAGGCAGCACTGCATATGTCTGATGGGTTTCAACATCCAACTGGCCCTGGAGGTATACGCGCAGTTTTTGGAAGATTTGACGTAGACAAACTCGATACAGATGCTGACATCTTGCTTATTGAGGGTGCCAGTTCCCAGGAAGTCAATATGTTGATCCTGCTGGGTCATAGAACCCTCGTGGCCGGAATGCTGCAGGGCTGTGGTTGTTGATGTTGACGAACTTGATGTGGATGTTGAAGACTGTAAGAGCAATGTAAGTATCTGATGAATGCACTGAAGTTGGTGAAGTCATTTGTTTTTGAGGCTTGTGATAGGTTCACTCACTATCCCTGACATTCGACATCTTCGCCGAATACATCTTCAACCAGTACATCATTCATATGCACCTCTGCGCAACACAACATCGGCTCAACCCGCATCCATGATTTCCTCAACTACGCTGTCAACAACCAGCACGATCCATCGTGCCGAATGCACGCTGTACAAGAGCTCACGACGCCTTCTGTCTGCGATGGATGAAGGTCTGTTTGCACCGCTGCTCCAAGACTCGATCAGGAAATTTCATCTGATCTTTGGAAAAGTGTGCCACACGAAGAACCTGTGCAGCAGCCGCAAGTGCACTTGCACTCGTCCCCATCCATACCAGAGACGTTGAAGCCCAGTTATCCCAAAAACACCGGTGCCAACGGAAAGCTTATGCCTGCCAGAGGTAAAACCAACACTTCGTGTGGATTCCGTCCCGGGTCCATGCGGTGGCCTGCTCCAGACATTCAGGAAAAGCACAAGCAGCCTGCATGACAAGCTGTCTAGTCCTGATGGGAAAGGCAGCATAAAATGTTGAGTAGAGGCCGCGACCTCCTGCCAATAAATCTCCATCAGCTTTCCAGAGACCCATGTACCACGCCTCTTCACGAGCTCGGCGTCCTCTGTTGCTGGAGAAAAGTTGCTCATCCTGGCCCGAAAAAGCCCAGATTCTTGTTGTTCCTCGCCGTTGGCACACCAAGACGTTCGAAGACCGTGTCCAGTCGCCTCCGCAAGGTCTGAGCTGAAAAAGGCCAGAGCCGCGAACTTGGAGCGAGGCTCTTGAGGCGAGGTCGACAAGTTTAACCAGGTCCTGGGTTCAAGCTTAGCTGCTTGGTGCCGTGCAGAGCACAACCTTGTCTTTGGCTCGGGAATGACGAGGAGAACGAAAGCCCGTGACCAAAGGACTTCGCGCGGCAGCACGAGCAACTCCCTTCTTGCCGTGGTCACTTCGCCGATGCTCGGCAAGGCTCCCCAAGCCAAGGCAAAACACCAGCTTCAGTCCTCCAACCGCAGGTGACGCGCACTGCGAGGACAGCTACAAGGACAATGGGGGGGGCATAGCAATGTCGTGCGTGTGGGGCCCCAAAGCCATCCACGAAAAAAACAGATCCCACGCCAACTGAAGCTGCCGTCTCAGCGCCGGCCTGAAGGCTGCGAAACTGTTGATGGTCTCGGCGTAATGCCAGTAACGTCGTCCTGCATCGACAAGTTTTCTCCCGTACGAGGTGAGAGCTGTTTTGCGATCTCCTCGGCACCGGCGCGTTCCAGGAAAACATGTTCCATGCCTTTCTCGCTAAGCCATTTCCGAAAAGCCTGAAAAAGCACTGAGTGGTTTTCAGAAGTCCTCTGCAGGACAGGACGGCCCCTAGGGAAGTCTCGAGTCGGACAGTGCCGCCTGCCTGTTGTGGTCCTGCGGATCGAGCAGCAGCAGTGGTCTTTCTCCAAAAAACCCAAGGGCGCCGTCGAAGTCCTGGTGGGTCCGGGGGTCGTGCCCCCCTGCTGTCGTCGCAGTTGTCTGTGCGCTTGTCGTATCTGAGCGGCTGACTGAGGGCCCAGACTAACAACCTAGAACCATTAACCCGATTATTCTTAAGCGCAATAAGGAGAGAGAGAGAGAGAGACACGAACGCAGGCAGCTCTGGAGGAGGAAAGAGGCCGATTGCGGCCCGGTGACAAGCTGAATCAAGGAGGGTGGCAATTGAGGAGGGCCACGGCTCTCGCAGCTTGTGGTCTCTAGTTGGGTCATCGGCTGCGTTGAGAGCTGTGGGAGCATGATGCAAACCAAAGTTCATGCCGCCGCCAACCAGCCACGCTGCGACCTGAAGCAGGATGCGGCGAAGGAGGCGCGAGGAAGAGCGCCCCTTTCCAAGGGCTCTTCTGGCAACCGAAGAATCGAGCAGCAGTGGCAGCTTCAGGTCGCCGCTCCTGAACGGCAAACCTGACTGCCTCGAGCACGGCACGAGTCTCAAGAAGGTTGATGTGCATGGGGCGATGCCAACGCCACACCACTTTCAAACCCTAGGCCGACGCCACACCACTTTCAAACCCTGCCCTGGGCCGACTGCCCGGTGGTCTCAGTGCTTCTGACGGCTCGCCTCATCGAGGAGCAGAGGAGAGCGCACAGCTGTGGGTGCCACCGCCGGGCCTCATGAGGATGATGGTCTGAAGCCGGGGTGGGATTTCTGCTGACAAAGTCGAGACCGAAACTCACGGCCGTGAGAGCGCCAGCGCTGCTGAGCTTTCCGCAGCGGTCAAAGAAGCTCTGCGTGACTCCCGGTCGCGTGGCAGCTCTTTTCCAAGCTGGCAGAGACGGTACAAATGAAGAGCCCCTATCAGATACAGAAGCCACTCTCGGAAGTAAGGCGAAGCGGGGTCATACTCAGCAGACCTGCGGGGGTCCAGAGCCGGGCTTGGACGGAGGCCAAACTCCTTCAGCGCACCCACAAAAGTCGGAGCCTGGACCAACAACGGCAACGTCTAAAGCGCAAGTGGCGGGCTTTGAAGCCGGAGCAGACCCGCGCTCAGGGCGGTGTGAAGTCGGAGCACAACCAGAGCTTGAGGGCGAGCTCGGGGTCAAGTGGGGCCCTAACGACAGCACCTTTAGTCATTGATGCGTCGGTAGCGCAAACACAGGGAGCCGGAGAAGCAGAGGCATTTGTGCAGATGACCTGGGCGAGCACGGCCAGCACCTGAAGCTCCCCAGCAACCTTTCTACTCAAAGGCCTCCAAGCTGAAGCCTCAGGGAGGTCCGTGCCAAAGTGTCACCGAGCTTGAACAAGCCATGGAGAACCGACATTAGGCAGCGGCGGTAAAGGAGACAGGCTACCCACGATCCGCAAAGCATTGCACAAAGCTCCTCTGAGTACACTAGCTAGCACGAGTAGGAACTTCAAAGTTTCCCCCACTAGTAGTGGGGATCTGTCAGCACAATGGCCTCGGCTATAGCAGTTGCGCATGATCCTGCCATGTGTTTCCCCAATATAGCTCGAGTTCCTCGATGTGTTCCTAGCAAACACCTTCGATGTGTACTAGCCGAAACTCCTTCAATGTTTCACCTGTTGGGAGTTTAGCGCTAGCATACACGGTCGTACCTCG